GTGTTTGGTTTTCTGTTCTTGTGATAGTTTGCTAAGAATGATGGTTTCCAGCTGCATCCATGTCCCTACAAAGGACACAAACTCATCCTTTTTTATGGCTGCATAGTATTCCATGGTGTATATGTGCCACATTTTCTTAATCCTGTCTGTCACTGATGGACATTTGGGTTGATTCCAAGTCTTTGCTATTGTGAATAGTGCCGCAATAAACATACGTGTGCATGTGTCTTTATAGCAGCATGATTTATAATCCTTTGGGTATATACCCAGTAATGGGATGGCTGGGTCATATGGTACATCTAGTTCTAGATCCTTGAGGAATCGCCATACTGTTTTCCATAATGGTTGAACTAGTTTACAATCCCACCAACAGTATAAAAGTTTTCCTATTTCTCCACATCCTCTCCAGCACCTGTTGTTTCCTGACTTTTTAATGATTGCCATTCTAACTGGTGTGAGATGGTATCAGAATTCAAAACTTACTATAAAGCCACAGTAATCAAAACAGCATGGTATTGGTAAAAGAATAGACACATAGATCAATGGAACAAAATGGAGATCCCTAAAGCAGATTCACACAAATTTAGTCAACTAATTTTTGGAAAAGGAGCAAGGGCAATTCAATGGAAAAAGGATAATTTTTAAAACAAATTGTTTTGAAACAATTGAACTTCTAAATGGAAAAAAAAACAAAGTCTAAGCACCAATTATACCTTTTACATCAATTAACTCAAAATGAATGGTAGAACTAAATATGAAATATAATACTTTCAAACATCTAGAAGAAAACATAAGACAAAAATCCTTGTGGCCTTGAGTTTGCTAATGAGTTTTTAGACTCACTAATACTAAAAGCATAATTCATTGAAAGAAAAAAGTTAAATTAGACTTTATTAAAATTAAAGGCTTTTACTCTAAAAATGACTCTGTGAAGAGATCAAAGGTAAGCCATAGACTGGAAGGACATATTTTTAAGCCATATACCTAATATGGGATTTGCATCCAAAATACATTAAAAACTCTTAAAATTCAACAATAAGCAAACAAACAATCCCATATTTAAAATGGGCAAAAGATCTGAACAGACATCTCACCAAAAAAGATGGCAAATAAACATATGAAAAGGTGTTTAATATAATTTGTCATTAGAGAATAGAAAAGTAAACCAACATAAAATGACACTGAATGCCTATCAGAATGGCTAAAATAGAAAACATTGACAATATTAAGTGCTGGTAAGGTTATAGAGCAACACGAACTCTCACTCACTGTTGATGGAAATACAAAATAGTACCGCCCCTTTAGAAGACAGTTTGGCAGGTTTTTATGTAGTGCTAAATATAGTCTTATTATACAATACAACAATCACACTCCTAGGCATTCTTCCAACTGATTTGAAAACTTATGTCCACACAAAGCCTGTATGTGAATGTTTACAGCAGCTTTACTCATAATCACCGAAAACTGAAAGCAACCCAAATGTCCTTCAACAGGTGAATAGATAAACTGTGGTACATCAATACAATAGCAACAAAGAGGAATAAACAAGCCAAGCAAAACATGTATGGATTAAAAGCATATTGTTAAGCTTATAAAACCAATTTTAAAAGCCTACATAATATATGATTCCATTTATATGACATTCTGGAAAACGCAAAACTATAGAGATGGTAAACAGGTCTGTGGCTACCAGGATTCAGATAAGAGGAAGGAGTTGAATAGGTGGAGCTCAGGGAATTATTTTGGGCAGTGACTATTACGTATGATGCTGTAATGATGGATACATAGAACTTAATACAAAGAGTGAACCTTAATATACACAAATTAAAAGAAAAATACTTAAGAGGTTGGGAGATCCCATGACGAAATGCAGACTATGATGAAAAAATGTCTAATTGTATTACCAATGTGTGAAATACCCTTATTGAAGGGTGTGTGTTTGGGCAGGGGGAGACGCTGACCTAAGTAACCTTGGAAATGAGTGGAGACTGTAAGACTAAAGGCAAAAGGGATTCTATATAAGCATGGTACTGTAGTTGATAAAGTTGTTTCCCAAGGCGGTATGGGTTCACAATTCTGATACTGGTTGACATGTATACTGGTACTGAACTATTAAGTAATTAGAGGGTGGATATTGGTAGTCAGATTTCTTTCTGTTAGTGTAGGAGTTTGCTGACATATAAAGGAGGAAGAATAGAATGATTCATGTGGTGTTATATTAAAGTTGGCAAAATGAACAAGAAGTCACATTAAGTCAAAGGGACACAGGAGCCAACTGAAGGGCTCCCAATAACTGGAATATTTTTAGCTTCTTTTTAAAAATTAAACTCTTTGTTTTGAGATAATGGTAGGTTCAGATGCAGTTCTAAGAAATAAGGCAGAGTGATCCCATGGACCCTTTTTCTGTTTCCCCCAGTGGTAACATCTTACAAAACTATAGTACAATAGCAGAATCAGCATATTGACATTGACACAGTCAAGATACGGAACACTTTTATCACAAGTATCTTTCATGTTGCCCTTTAATAGCCACATCTGTTTCCCTCCTACTCCCATTCTCTCTTTAATTCCCAGCCACCCACTAATTTGTTCTCCACTTCTATAATTTTGTCATTTCAAGAATGCTGTATAAATGGAATAATACAGGATGTAAACTTCTGAGATTGGCTTTTTATCGCTCAGCATAACTGTCTGGATATTAATCCAGGTTGCTGGATGTATCGGTTGCCGTCCCTTTTTATCACTGAGTGATATTCCATGGTATGGATGCACTACAGCTTGTTTAATCCTCATCATTAAGGGACATCTGAGTTATTTTCAGTTTGGAGTTGCTATAAGCATTTATGTACAGGTTTTCATGTAAAGCAAAGTCTTCATTTCTCCAGGATAAATGCCCAGAATTGAAATTGCTGGGTTTATGACAGCTTCATGTTTAGTTTTTAAATAAATTGTCAAGTTATTTCCCACAGCAGCTGTATTATTATATATTCCCACCAGCAATATATGAGTCATGCAGTTGTCTGCATCCTCAAGCTAGAACAATATGAGCAACAAATTCACCCCAAACTGCAACCAGGGGGTCCAAGATCTGATTGTGGTAGTCGATACTAGTGGGTCTCCCAGAGCAAAGAGCAAGGAAAAGGATAGTAGGTGTCCGAGTAGCGAACAAAAAATACCCAGCACAGAGAGGTTGTGCCAATCACCTGAGATGTTCATCACAATACACTGCATCTCTGGACATCAGACATGGCTTTTAACCTCGAGAAGTTTACAGTTTCAGGGCAGGGATAAGATATATGCGTGAATATAACCATCATCAAGGCAGGAGGTAATCAGAGCCACAAGAGAACCCCATGAATCAAAAAGTGGGAGATTAGAAGAGACATCATGAGGAACATATCAGATGAATCAAACCTTGAAGAATCACTAGATTCAGCCTTGCCTATCAGGAAGGGAACACATTCACCTACTTACAGTTAGCTTACAAGAATAATTCCCTAAATCTGCTTTGCATTTATGGTTTATAAACACTTTCCTATTCATATCTTATTTGATCACCATTTTATGTAGATAGTGTGTATCAGTCAGGTATTGATGTACAACAAACCACCTGAATGCAATTCTTATGCTAACGACCCACAGTTACATCAAATTTCACAGATTAAGAGCATAGTCTTTCAAAAGACTACTTCACTTCAGACACCATCAGCAAACTCTAGGGTTCCCAGACCATTCACACTTCTGACCAACTGGCTACAAATTCAGGGATTCCCCCTATCCTCTCAAGTTCAAGAATTTGCTAGAATAACTCATAAAACTCAGGAAAACACTATACTTATAACTATAGTTTTATTATAAACAATACAATTTTGGGACCAGCCAAAGGAAGAGACTGATAGGGTAAGGTCTGGAAGGGTTCCAACCATGTAACTTCTGTGTCCTCAAGGTGTTACTCTCCTGTCACATTGATGTGTATCACCAGCCAGGGAAGCTCACCAGAACTTTGGTGTCCAGAGTTTTCCTCAGAATTTCATTATGTGGGCATAATTGATTGAATCGTTGGCTACATGATTAAACTTGATTTCCAGACCCTCTCTTTTATCAGAAGATCAGGCAGATATCACCAAAGCTCCAACCCTTTGATTACATGGTTGGTCTTTCCGTTATGACCAGACCCCATCCTGAGTCATCTCTTTAGCATAAACTTACCTGTGATCCAAGGGACCCAGCATGAAGAACAAAGACACTCCTATTGCTCAGGAAATTCCAAAAATTTAGAGGTTCTCTCCCAGAAATGGGAAAAAGAAACTAGCCAAATGTTCAGTCACAAAACATCACTTCAATACTCAGTAGTTTCAAACAGAAGTTATTTATTCTCACACACCTATAGCTTATCTGATCTAGGATAAGCATGACTGGGCCCAGCTTCAGTCTATGGTAGGGTCCAGGTCAACTCTGTATGTCTCTGATCTTTGAACCAGTAGATGAGATAGGACCTATTCATAGAAGAAGCAAAAGAGGACAAGCCCAAAGCTTCAAGCAC